GGAGCTAAACAAATAAAACTAAATGACTTAGCTAATAAGTAAACTAAATTAAATACCTAAACTAAATTGTACAAACTAACTAAAAAAAAAAAAAAGAACTATCCTAAACACTTGAGATCAAGATAAATCATAATAAATGCTATAATACATAGAACTGAATTACAGTGAGTTATTTACTTGTCAAAATTAAAGGGACATAATAAAAGCATGCCCAGAGAGAATTTCAGAGTTTTCATACATTTATCAGGGGGAAAAAATGAACTCAGTAAAAGCAAATGAACTCATCTGAGCACCATTGCCGCACCAACAGTCCCAGCTACTTGGGAGGCTGAGGCAGGAGGCTCGCTTGAGCACAGGAGTTTAAGGCCACAGTGCACAGTGACCACATCTGTGAATAACCACAGCACTCCAGCCTGGGTATATAACAAGACTCCATCTTTTTTAAAAAATGAAAGAAAAAGAAAAAGAAAAAACGAAATAATGTTAAGGATAGAACAAAATTCTGCTCAGGAAGCTGTCTAATATTACTTGAAGATAGACTGTAATAAATCAAAGATGTATATTTTAGGACGTAAAGCAACTTATAGAAAAGTAAAACAAGAAGTCTACTCCATGAGCCAATACTTGAGCAGTCATAGCAGAATCATAACATATACGCGATCAATCCAAAAGAAGGCAGGAAAGAAAAGAAGCAAAGAAAGATGGTCACGTAGAAAACAACCTACATGTATAGACGTTTTGGTGTCTTCCAGGGAAAAAGTTGGCTTTCTGATAGTAAAACCCACCTGCCAACAGATCCTCCCTCCACATACAGAGTTTGCCTTCAACTTCTTAATTCCTTTCTCTTAAATATAAAAAGGCAGACAAGGTTTACTGGACATCTGAGCAAAGTCTCTACCATGAAAGATAACAATCAGTGGCATGGAACCACTTGGAAGGCTGAGGCAGATTGCTTGAGCCCAGGAGTTTGAGACCAGCCTGGGCAACATAGTAGGAGACACCATCTAAAATAGGAAACAGAGAAACACAAGGAGAAGAAACCTTCAAAATGTATATAATTTTTATCCTCAAAGAAAGCAGAGAATATATTGCAACCATAGAGCAAGAAAAGATGTTTTCAGATTCATAGAACAAGACTGAGCTTTTGAAAAGTAAAATATGTTAACGTAGGTTTTTCTAAATTAATAAGTTGATTAAAAAATAAAGCAAGGAATGGTCTCCAAATGTTAGAACTAAAAGACAAATACAAGGAAACTGAGAGAGAATAAATAAAATGGAGGGTTCACCCAGGAGATCTAATCTCTAACTAGTAGACATTCCAGAAAGGGAAAAGCTAGAAAGTGAAGGGGAAGAACGTGCCATAGAAATAATACACGAGGTCAGGAGTTCAAGTCCAGCCTGGCCAACATGGTGAAACCCCATCTCTACTAAAAATAAGAATAAAAAATTAGCCAGGCATGGTGGTACACGCCTGTAGTCCCAGATACTCTGGAGGCTGAGGAAGAATTGCTTGAACCTGGGAGGTGGAGGCTGCTGTGAGCTGAGGTTGCACCGCTGCACTCCAGCCTGGGCGACAGAGAGAGGCGCCACCTCAGGGGCAAAAAATCTGTTATGTTTTGAATGTTCATGTTCCCTACAAAATTCATGTGTTGAAATCCTAACCCCCAAAGTGATTAGGAGGTGGAATCATTGGGATGTGGTTAGGTCATGAGGGTAAGGCCTTCCTGAGTGATATTAGTGCCCTTCTAAAGGAGGCCTTAGAGAGCTAGCTAGCGCCTTCAGCC